TCCAACGACGATGAGTCAGAAGACGACCCCCAGTCACTTCATGTGTTTGCACTGGCTCTTGCACTGCTGCCCTGGTATGTCCACGGTTGCGGGCATAGCTGCAGCTTTCGCTCGGCCGGGCGTTTGGCTTGACAAGTAGTTGGCCAAGAAGGCGGTCTGCCTCTGCATTCCAATCGCCTGGGCACTTGGCGCAATGAGCATGCCCTGACTAATATTGCCCATTGCATGGGTCGCATCTTGGCAACTTGTGGGAAGACGGGATTGATGCACTGGAATCTCACCAGTGTTGACCTTGTGGATTATCAGGATGCCGGCCTTGGGACGCGGGTTCCAAACCTCGGATGATGACCACTCAGGTCGAGATTGGGATGCAGCACGCTGCGATGTCACAATCCCTGGGCCAACCTCTTCAAATCCTTTGATGTTCATTCGCGGCTGCACAGTACGAGAATAAGCTTGGCTTTCATAGTGGAATTTATACGCGCCTTGATTGAGGACTACTCAGATTATTTGTTCATAAATAGACATGTGTGTGCTCCGGATATGCACTGACGCTAGAATTTAAGTCCAAAGCAGGCAAATCTTTAGAGCATCACTGTTAGAAGCTGCAAAGTGCATTGTGCATGTATGTTTACAGCAAACATGCGCTTTTGTTGAACAAAACAACTAAATAATGGGGGCGGTGGGCAAGTGAACCAAGTCAAATCCACCCAAACATGTTCAAATTCAGTGTGTTGTCAACGTTCTATCCTTATGACGAATGCCTCCCAATAGCATGGTCAGTCAATCTAAATGTGTAGATACATGTATGCACATACATGATGTGTATAATATACGTATATATATATATATATAATATATTCACTTCCTGAACGGATTGACAAACAAAGCCTACACTGTTGTTACCAATAAAATGGTCTTCCCCAAAGAGGATAGGGTCACGTCACTTCACTCATTTGTGTGTTTCTCCCAGCCCTCCCACCCAACACACCTTTGATTCATCCATGGGGGATGCGCGTCCTGGTATGTTGGGCCTGCCCCTCCATGGTTGTGCACAAAAATTAACCAATGAAAAATAAAAAAACAAAGTAATATGTCGACCATTTATATAAAATACACTATCAAAAAAATTAAACATTAAACAGAACAAATCAACAAAATAAACAATTATCATTAACTAAATAAAATAAAATAATGTCAACCACAAAAACCTCTAATTAAACTCAACAGCCCCAAAAGCTATAAAAACATCAGGCAATATAAGAAAGAACAACCGACTAAAGCCCGAACAACAAAGAGCCGGGTATACAAGATAAAAAAATTACAAAAAAATCCGAAAAAACACTCAACCACCTTACAAAAAAAAATACCAGACTCAACACCCAAAAAACATGGTGCACACAACACACAAACAAATAATAATTAAAAAAAACAAAAGGCAAACATCTGCCAACCTGTCAGGGGGCGCCAAGGGGATGGTGGTGGGTACTCAAAACAGGCCTGAGCCTAAACACATGTGCCGTTTACGTGACGTTTCATGAGTGGCAAGCAACCCATTTCCACGTCACTTCACTCATTTGTGTGTTTACCTTTGATTCATCCATGGGGGATGCGCGTCCTGGTATGTTGGGCCTGCCCCTCCATCCAGGGGCAGGCCAACCACATCGTTCCAGGGGAGAATTTCCCCTTCCGCCGGGCGACCCTGGAACGCTCCCTAAAGCGGAGCCCGCTGCCACTACACCCGAGCGTGACAGCCTCCCTACGACTGGCCAGCTTGAGAGGAACCTCTCTCGAGACCCTCCTTTTATTTTCTTTATCCCCCCCGCCTTACCATGGTTCCTTCCATCTCATCTCCGGCCCTTCTTCTTCTTGTCCTTCTCGAGCCTGATCTCTGAGTCCAGCTGCATGGCCGCCTCCATGATCTTCGGAATCACTTTGAAGCCCAACTCGTCCAGCTCCAACTGCACCCTCAGGGCCGGGTTGAAGAGGGTGAAGTCCAAGCGTCTGCTTCCTTGTTCTGCTCCCGAGGTGTCCACCCGAGCTGCAAGGTCGTGCCCAGGTCACCCAGCTGAACCGCCAGAGCACCTTGAGAGTGGGAACGCCGTGCTCATGTACTGGTCGATGACGTGCGTGTTGACCAGGCTGTCGGTGAACCCTTGCGCCACGAGCTCGCCCACCGAGTCTCTCCACTGCGATCCTGGCCCGAAGATGCAGACAGCTATGGTCGTCGCAATCAGCTCCAGGCTAGCTATCACGCGGATGGTTGGCGTAGCGACTGAAAATGTTGGGCGTGATCCGCTGAAATGCCGCCTTGTTCGGGTAGCGAAATGCGCGCATCAGGATGGCGTTGGCCACGAGATCCAACCTCACCCGCAGCTCTTCCGGCCCTGACGGCTGCGTGTTCTGCACGGCCCCCTTCTTCACCTTGATCGTGCCCGTGCTGTGGTCGATGACCGCTCCGACCGGTGCCACATTCGCGTCCTCCCTGCTGATGAACTCGGTGAGGCGCATGAACCGCCACTCGATCTGGTCGAACAGGTTCTCGAGGGTGCTGGGCGCCGGTGTGACCTTATCCTCCATTTTCTGGTAGGTGTCCTCGTACTTGGACCTCAGCGCTGCATGCTCTGTCCGTGAGACCACCTTGGGCATGCTAGACACGGTAGCCTCCGCCTCGACCTTGTTGCGCGTGTCCTTCGCTGCTTCCCATGCATCGACCACCGCCGCAATGTTCACATCTCCGCCGGCTGCAGCTGGGTCAATGTTGAGTGTCCTCCGGCAGAAGTCCCGAATGCCGCCCCGATCGTCTGCCAGCACCGCGAACCGGCCTACTGTCCTTACCCTTGCGCTGCCAGCGCCACCTGCACATCCGGCGGCACCTCCTTGATGTCCAGCAGGCCGCCGAAGTCGGGGTCCAAGGTCCTGATGGCTGCCCGCTGCGCCGCATCCAGCACAACCGCACCAGCCATGACCCTCTTCCTTTACCGGCTCTAGCCGAAAGGTAGCAGCATCCATGCTGGTACCCACTGATACCCGAGGCTCCCCATGTTCCGGCCCTTGTTACCAAATTTCAATCAAGAGCCGCCCTTGCATGCAGCTTATCGGCGCCGCATGCTTCTAGCCCTCCGACCTGACCTCCCTGACGCATGATCGCTTGCCAGATCCCTCATGCGCCTGCCAGTGAGATTGAACCTCAACCTCACACCTCCCGCTCCCCTTTCCCAAACTGTCTGCCCCGCGCCTGTCCTTTTCCGGCCGACCCCTTTGGTTTGGGTGGTACTGAAAACGGGTGAAACAAGGCTAGTCTAACGTTAAGAGTTGGGAGACTGGCAACCACTGAAGGGGTCTCCGGGAATTATTTTAGCAAAAAATAGTAATTGGATTGCAACGGAGAATTGCAATCGAGGTCAGGTGGATTTCCATTTTGCACTTCTAGATTGCAACAGTTGGGCTTTCATTTAGCAATTTCAATTAGTGACGGCAGCAACGGTCAATGCTGAATGGCATTGCTCCTGCAACAATGATGGACCTCCTTCACTGAGCGCGTTTGCTATTTTTTGCGAATTTTTGCTAATTTGTGCTAATTTTTGCTAATCTTGGCCAGGGCTTGGCGAACGCATTTGCACAAAATAGCAATATTTAGCAACCCTCTCGTGGTTTTGGCCCCCTGGAAGCTCATTTTGTGAGAGGGTTGCTATTTTAGCTAATTTTTACTAATGTTCACTAATGTTCGCTAATTTTTGCAAATCTTAACCAGGGCTTGGCGAACACATTTGCAAAAAATAGCAATATTTAGCAACCCTCTCGTGGTTTTGGCCCCCTGGAAGCTCATTTTGCGAGAGGGTTGCTAATTTTTGCAAATCTTAACCAGGGCTTGGCGAACACATTTGCAAAAAATAGCAATATTTAGCAACCCTCTCGTGGTTTTGGCCCCCTGGAAGCTCATTTTGCGAGAGGGTTGCTATTTTTTGCGATTTTTTTACTAATTTTTGCTAATGTTTGCTAATTTTTGCAAATCTTAACCAGGGCTTGGCAAAAAATAGCACAACCCTCTCGTGGTCTTGGCCCCCTGGAAGCTCATTTTGCGAGAGGGTTGCTAATTTTTGCTCATTTTTACTAATTTTTACTAATGTTTGCTAATTTTTGCAAATCTTAACCAGGGCTTGGCGAACACATTTGCAAAAAATAGCAATATTTAGCAACCCTCTCGTGGTTTTGGCCCCCTGGAAGCTCATTTTGCGAGAGGGTTGCTATTTTTTGCGATTTTTTTACTAATTTTTGCTAATGTTTGCTAATTTTTGCAAATCTTAACCAGGGCTTGGCAAAAAATAGCACAACCCTCTCGTGGTCTTGGCCCCCTGGAAGCTCATTTTGCGAGAGGGTTGCTAATTTTTGCTCATTTTTACTAATTTTTACTAATGTTTGCTAATTTTTGCAAATCTTAACCAGGGCTTGGCGAACACATTTGCAAAAAATAGCAATATTTAGCAACCCTCTCGTGGTTTTGGCCCCCTGGAAGCTCATTTTGCGAGAGGGTTGCTATTTTTTGCTAATGGTTCCTAATGTTTACTAACTTTTGCTAATTTTTGCTAATCTTGGCCAGCGCTTGGCGAACGCATTTGCAAAAAATATAGTTCCAGTGCAATTTAAATTTGCTAATTTTGTTGCTATTTTTTGCTAAATAGTTATTCTACTGTTTCCAGGGGTTCCCTGCAATCCAAACTCTTAAGTCTAACGACTCCGTAGAAGCCGAGATCGAGGATGACACCTCGCTGTCCTCGATGGCCCCTGGCTCGTTGCCAGCCTCGACACCTCGAGGGAAGCACTCCTTGCACACCCGGTGGTACCTGCCCTCCGGAGGTAGGTCCTCGCCCAAGTCCTCGAACCGCTTGTAGTGCACCCCCGGGACACGATGACACTCTCCCCCACGGTGGAGTGTCCTCCTCTGCGATCTTCCCACCAGACTCACGAAGTACCGGCTCTCGGCGTCCGATCTGGCTCACTGGCGGTCTCATCGTTCTTGCTTCCCTCGTCGCCGTCTTCCACCTCGACCACCTCCAGCGGGTCCCTCTCCGACGCCTGCCAGCAGTCCTTCCCGAGGATGCTCGCGAAGATGCCTCCCTGGAAGCTAGTCAGCCTCAGCTTCTGGTCTTCCACATCGTTGGGGTCCATCTCTTGCACCGCCAGCTTCTCCACGACCTTCTCCATGATGGACTCCTCGTCCAGCTTGTCGGGGCCCCCCAAATTGTTCCGAATCTCCTCGGCCATCATCTTCTGCGCCCTCCACGTTGCCCCTGATGGTCCTGACATAGGCCTCGTCCGTGGAAGGCTGCCATCTGCCCAGCTGCCTGGCCACGTAGTCGTCGACCCCCAGCGAAGACGCCCAAGACCTCAAGGTTGCTCTTTCGGAATGCTCTGACCAAACAGTGCCCGCGCCCTGGCAAAGCAAAACCCCTCCAGGTCGACCGACACCTTCTAGCTCGTCCTGCTTCCTCTGGCTCATCACAAGCTCGGCCATCAAGGCCTGACTCATCTGCAACGCGTGGTAGTACTTGCCCATGGCCCCGATGAGACCGGTGCCCTCGCAGTTGGGCAGAAAGAAGTCCCAAGTGAACAAACCTGCCTCCTCGCTCATGGTCTTCCACAGGCTCCTCCAGCCATGCGTCCACCGAGATGAAGACGTGCTGGACCTCGACCTTCTTCCCTGCCCTGGTGGTCTTGGTCCTTTTCAGAACACCCCGAAGTCCTCGGCCGCTCATCTCCAACTTGCCGAAGGGCATTCCCTGCGTGTCCGAGAAGCGCAATGAGCTTTACCAGCCGAAACCAGGCATAGGCCCGGGGGTATCTGGGCACCCCCTCCGTCATCACGTATCGTTCCAGAGCCATGACGATCTCTACCGGGATCTGCACCGCCTGCCGCCGTCCTCGCAGATCCAGCTCCCCAGCTCCAGCTTGACCTCCTCCAAGGTGTTCTGCAGTGCGGGATGCTTGCAAAGCCTTTCCTTCTCCGGCACCTCCCCAGCCACCTCGATGAACATGAGGGTCTTCATCAAACTTGTGGGGATGCTCTTGCCGCACGGCTCGGCCACCCGATGCGTGACGTACTCGATGAACTGCTCAATGGTCCGCGGCCAAGGCACATTGTAGGTGCTGTACAGCCATGTAGCCACATGCCGCCAGGTCTTGACGTGCTTCCGCAAAGTGGTGGATCTCCTCCCCTTTCCGACCCGGTGCCAGGCCGTCCCGTCGGGGTCCGCGTTCCATCCCTCCGAAGCCGGCAGCTCCGACTCCACGATGATCCTCTTGAGCATCACCGTCCACCTCGTCCTCTCCGATCTCTCGGCCCGGTCCCGCAGGTCCATGTTGTCTCCAGCTCGCCCCACCAACCTGCTGAGCCGGCAGGGCCGGCGTGCCAAGGGCGCTTTGCCCTTCCTGCAGGGTAGCGCCTCGAGATCCACGACCTCCGCCTCCACTTCCTACCGGAAGGTCCTGGCCCGTTTGAAGCCAGCCGCCACCCAGTCCAGGCCACCGGAACGGCCTTCCACTCCCCACTGGATCCTGCCGGTGCTCCCGCACTCCATGACCTTCTCGTGGAACTCCTCCAGCTCCTCCACCGTGGCCTCCCGGCCCCACGCCTTCTCCAGGACCCTGAAGGCCTCTCTTCGGCAGGTCGTCCAGCGTGCCGAGCCTGGCCGTGGTCCAGCCGCACGCCGCCAACCTGGACCACGGCTCAGGCCACTCCATCGCCGCGAGAGTGCCCCCCTCTACTCAAAACAGGCCTGAGCCTAAACACATGTGCCGTTTACGTGACGTTTCATGAGTGGCAAGCAACCCATTTCCACGAATCTCAGGAAGTAAGTATATGAGTTGTTGCTTACATTCAGTTTTAACTCTATGTAGTAACTGAACATAGGCTTCCTTTCCAAATAATAGCTGTATTGAATCAGTATATAAATATAAATTCATGTCAAAATAGGATCTAGTTATAATTCGATTTCAATGTCTGTTTCAAATTGGAAATTGAACAGGCATCCCTTTCCACATAGGATTTTAGTTGAGACTTGATAGACTGTGAGTTTGGATTTGATATTTTGCCGTGAACACAAATGCGAAGCGCCCAAAACGTCATTCTGACTTCCGGAATCTGAGTGTAGACCAAGCAAAACTGGTTGGCGCTTGGAAACATCCAGTTTGCTCGTTTGCTCGTTGTTTTGTGGTAAAATCGCTTAGCCCTGCTCATTTCCGTGTCAAGAACCATGGCACTGCAATGTGTATTAATGTGTCAACCTGGCTCAAACCGACGTCGCACTCCCGAGGCAGGCGGTGTCTCCCTAATTTTCCGGTCGTGACTTCTGTTTGCTTGCCGTTTTGGCCGTCCAAAGACCGCCAAAAACATCACACCAAAAGGAGACTCGCTTCAAATCAGCCCCAGAAGGTGGTGACAGTTGAACCTTCCAAAGGGGCAACTGTGGGAACCCCTGCACAAGACAGCTGAACGCAACGCCCAAGCTCATCACTGGGGCTGTCAAAATAAAATGCGCCTTGCTCTCGATGGGATGATTCCCGATTGCCTTTAGACAGTCACTTTTCTGACACTGCCAAGGGTTTTGAAATACAATATGGGTGAATATGAACAACTCACCAACCAGAATACGGAGTCCAAGAAAATCTACTCCCAAGAGTGATGCAAATCCTTTGTGAGATCCGGCCATACTCCGAACAATCCCCCACATAATTGTACCAATTGCCAACAAAAAGGGAAACCAGGAGCCAAAAGAGTCTGACTCTTGCCACTAACATGGACCAACCCCAAAAGGTATCAAGTCCAGAAACTCAGGCGTGCACCTTTTGGCTATGGGTTTTGAACTGCGGATTCCGAATATGCCGCGCCTGCTGCGCCTGCTGCTGGCGCGCTTGCGCCGTAAGTCGTCCCAGCTCTTGAGCTAGCATCGCGCCGGCTTGCTGGGCTTTCGGGGTTCTTGTTTTTCGGGCTTTGCTTGTTTGGTTTGGTTTGGTTTGGTTTGGTTTGGTTTGGTTTGGTTTGGTTTGAGTTGGTTTGAGTTGGCTTGTTTGCTTTGCTTAGTTTTGTCTTGCTTTGATTTGTTTGGTTTGGCTGTGGCTCCAAAAATGTACCAGAGAATCGGCACCTTGGTAGATGGAACCAAAGACTAAAACCGTCGTACGCCTAACTCTGAAGCTTTGAGCCACACCCGCTTGCTTTTTTTTGTGTGTGTGTGTTTGTCATTGCGTGTCAGAAGATTCTTGTCAGTGAAACGTGTTCGGATTTTGCGCCCCAGCATGATCCTGTGCTGGCAGGGCGATGGATTGAGGACGGCTTTGAGAGGCTGACCTCGGTAGCTTCTCGCACCCCGGCGGCTCCCGAATCCAAAAGTGCAAAATGCACTGAGATCTAGCTCCCGGCAGCGACAGACACCAATGGCGTGCCAGGAAGGTGCTTGTTGGGAAGCTTGCCCGGTGAGTGTGGGTGCCGATCTTTTTGTTCTATTGAAATCACTTCAAGAGGCACTGTGGTTCAAAATGGTAACCCCAATCCAAACCACGGTTCCTTTTATAAAAGCAACAATGCGCGTTAGACGTCCCGCCTGCAAGCTAGAAATCCGCTATATTCGGACAAGCGTTGGCAGACTGCTACCGGAAGATCTTGCTTCTGGTATAAGGGCAAAAGTGTGCTTCAATGTTTGCTGTTGGGAGGGTGAGTCAAGTTGCAGCATGTGCGGGCTTTCTGTCGAAGGTTCCTCCAACAACGAAACCATCCAACAGCTGCTGGTTCGTGCAGGTCTTTCCCTCTTTTAGAAGCCTTTGAGGACTGCTCTTTACATAAGACTTGCAATATAGAAGCGGCCCACATTTGGCCTAGTCTCGTTTTAGGGGAGCCCTCAATATGGGTGGTTTCCTTATATCCCCTTGAAACCAACCCCAAAAACTGGGGGTACCCAAACAAAAGACACACCCATTTGTCCACACCAGGGTGGTTCTGCGGCCAGCCGGAACTCCTCGAAGCCTCGAAATGCCAAGACGCTAATCAGCGCCACATCCATGGCCGCCCAGGCACCCAGACAATGCGCTACAGCCCTAAGGCGACGCGTGGGGCTTCCCTTGAAGACCAGTCGCAAAAAGGGTGCCCCGCAATGGTTCAAAGTGTTGCAAAAACAATGGCGACCGGGACAATTCGTCGTTATCCTGTCACACTCAAGTTGGATCCCTTTCGAATTGGGTTCCCGAAATGAAGCCCTGGCTTGGGGTGTCTCGTTAAGAGAGTTGGCAACGTGTCAAAATTATTTGGACCGGGAGGCAACATGGGCGAAACGGTTTTCCTTTGGGTTTCTTTCAGGAATGGGTACCCTCAACAAAAGCAGACGCCCAAAATTTGGAATTCTAAACCAGGGACCTCTTAAAACATTGGCTTCCGTTTGGCCAATCAAATGGCCCTCTAGTTTTAGACTCCCCCAAATACACTCCTTCCCAACCAACATGGAATCTGACAAAAGGTCACTTTAAGGGAAAACGAGTCTTTCAGGAACCTCCAGGGAGGTTCCAGAGTGGGTAGGATATCAACTTTTCATCTGCGGTATGTCAATGTGTGCTTTTAGTTAGGGGTCGACCTCATGCCCAGCAACAAAGCTGAAGCTCATAGGAGGGGAGGAAGGGCACACCGTTTTGGGATGAATTTGTGTCTTACACTGAACCCCGAAAGCGGGCAAAGGGCAAGCCACAAGGGTTGAGGGTTTCTAGCCTGACAGGCCTGGGAAATTTAAAGACACCCATATTAGTTTGCTTCCCAACCCGAAGCCATGAACGGCAAGTCCGCCAAAAGGGTTTTTGCACGAGCATTGGGGGCATTGGGTATCGAAAGGGTAAGCCAGAAACTGAAACGGACCCTGATGTTTGAGGCAACCATCATGGGACCCAGAGACTAAAATAGAAGAAAGCTGAGGGGTTGACAAAACAGTATACCCCCAAAAGGGGCGCTGAGTGATTAATTACCTTGCCAAGTCGAGAACTTGTTATGCAAGGGTAGTGCGGCGTTGAAGGCAATGAGCAAGAATCAACTTAATCAACCTCAGCTCAGGATCATCCAAAGTCACTCCTATGGCGTGTTTTTGACAGACTGCACAGACCTCACTTGTCATGGCTTGCACTCCGCGAATGGGCCTATTCACCAACAAAACCCGTCCGCAGAATTGGCACCTGTGAAGCAACCTATATGCCTGCGTTGCACTATTTCCAAGCAACACCCAGCTTCCCACCAGTCCGGCAACCAAATTGAACGCCGGTCGAATGCCAGTCAAAACACGAGAGAATCCGATGCCCATGATGAGTTGCAGACCAAACGACTAGGGGATGACAAAGCGCCCGCCTCACGTCGATGTTCTTGAACTTTGGCGTTTTGCGCCAGCGCAGGACCAATAGCATCAGGATCTGCAAGAAGTTGACCTTGCTGGGCCAACTGTTTTGAGAAAAACAACGCAAATAACATACTCCTGCGTCACGCGCCGAAACAGCCAAATGTGGTTGAACGTTACGACTTAAATACAGGAAAAAAAACGCAACAGCTCCTGCAGCAGGCAGCAGGAGGCAGCAGCAGCAACAAACACAGGACAGAAACTGCAAACGCTGCAATGGCACAGCAATGGGGCAATGGTGCAGCAACTTGGCAACTTTGGGCAATCCGGCAGGGAAGGTAGCAGAAAGTAATGAATATGTAAAACGTTGCAACATGTTGCTGGCACATGTCCACCAGGCAGAAACGCTAGAGTCGCTGAGCCTCGGGCCCCAAGGGCAAAGACCACAAAGGTCGCCTGCGGAGCTGTGGTGCCAACAACAAGAAATCTGTCAAAATCGGTGAGCCGCACTGCAAACTAAGAACGCTATACGCTTGCCAAACACTTTCTTGAAAGAGCCCACATGAACGCCACGCAGAGCTGTGTCTGCTGCCTCTTGTACGGCAGCAAGCAGCTGCAGCAGCGGCAACGGCAGCAGCAGCAAATAACAGCAGCAACAGCAACAGCACAGGCACCGCTAGTAGCAACAATAGCCAACAACAACACCCACCAACCCAAAGCAAACCAAACCTGCCAACCACAACCACAAACACAACCACAACCACAACCACCACCCACACCCGACAACCAACTACCACCAACCAGCAACCAACAACGAACAACTAACAACCAGCAATCAGCAACCAACACTCGAACAATCAGCAATCAACAACCAACGGCCAACATAACCATCAAGCAGCACCCAGCCACCAGCTACCGGCAAACAGCATCCAGGAATCGCAGCCAGAAATCAGCAACCAACAGCCAACGCACAACAAGCAACCACCAACGACTGCCAACAAAAATCCAACGACCAAAAGCCACCAACCGCCAACCAACATCCAACAACGAACAACCAGCACCCAACAA